TTTTTTTTTTTTTTTAAAGATTTTATTTATTTATTATGTATACAGCATTCTGCTTCCATGTATATCTGCACACCAGAAGAGGGCACCAGGCCTCATAACGGATGGTTGTGACCCACCATGTGGTTGCTGTGAATTGAACTCAGGACCTCTGGAAGAGCAGTCAGTGCTCTTAACCTCTGAGCCATCTCTCCAGCCCCAACCATGACCATTCTTAATGTTAATTTTTCTCCATTCACTTCTCAAACTTTATCTCCTTCACTATCACCCTGCTTCTACTTGCCATCTGGATTCCATGGCTTGCCTCCAATTGCCTTACTTACAGGCACCTGTCTCCCCACTGGCCCGCCTGTCTGCTCTCCACTGAGACCACGTCAACTAGAGGGCTTTGCAGTCCTCTCCAAATCAGCATCTAAACAAATGTCAACACATATACATCATCAAAGGCCTCCTCTCCTTCACCAGTCTCATCCCTCTGCACACACAGGACCACCCCTGCCCATTCATTGATCCACCCTCTCTGGGCTGCTTCAGATGCTGAAAAGCAATTGTTCCCTCTGTGAAGGGACCTTCATGTATTCTTTCCATGATTTGACCTCTGACCTGGTTAACAGGGCTCTTGACTCAGATCTCAAGTCAACCCTTTATCTCCTTATGGAATCGTCCCTGAAGGCTCTCAATCAAAACCCTCCTGGTAAATAATTAAAAGCCACTACTCTCACTTCTCACACACTATATCTTGTCATTGCTGTGATCACCCATTTGGTGATGCCTGCTTCCTAGATGCTTTCTGGTTTTGCAACCTTCTGCACCTCAGTGCCCGGTATAGCGACTTGTCTATATGCAGTTGGTAAGCCACTATATATGTGTCCAGTAAGCCATATAAACAAAGCTAACCTTCAAGAAACATTTATGATCCCTGAGACTATGATACAACCCAAAATAACAAGGGTGACAGCATTCTTGGAACACTTATGCATAAATAAAAGCGTCCAAACATCACACTGTCCCCTAGGACACTGTTGTTGATCTGTACTGTGATTGTCTGAGTCATTATTATTAGAAGACAAATTCTGTTCAGTTTATGTTATTTGATGAGAAAACAGAAGATTATAGATGATTTTCAAAAGATATACATATGATATAATTTAGGAAGATGTAAATGTTCAAATTTTTTGCTTATGGACAATCCATTTTGTGACATACTTCATTATTTGGAGAGGTTAGATAATGAGATCATAGGAACAGTTGGGAAATCATCACCCTCTCCATTTGCCACTCAGTTAATCCTGCCCTAACTAAATTTTATAGCTTTGTATCAACAAGGATAAAACCATTCAGAAATTGGAAGTTATCCTTTAAAGGGAAGAATATAAAGATGAAGCGTCAAAATTCATATCTTTTTGACATATTTCATTTCCCTTTGCTTTCTCTTACAGACCCAGTAGATACCGCCATTACCAAGTATGGACAGCATTATTAGACTGGCTAAATCCCAACTCTCAGTTGAGAGTTCAAACAGTGAACAGAGTTATTGTTCATGAAAAATATGATGGAACCACCTACCAGAATGACATAGCTTTGATTGAAATGAAAAAGTCTTCGGGCAAGAAAGAATGTGAGCTCTCTAATTCTGTCCCAGCCTGTGTCCCATGGTCCCCATATCTATTCCAACCAAATGATAAATGCATCATCTCCGGATGGGGTCGAGAGAAAGGTATATGTTTTACTTCTGGGGGTGGGAAGTGGATTAGAAATGTATGGAAACCACTCTAGTACTTAGAGAAATACCATGTACAGAAGAGTAAGTGCCCGTCCAGGAAGGGTTCCCTGCCTGGGCTCACAATCGGAGTAGCTGCCAAGAACCCCAACGACAGAAGGACCACACGAAACTGGAGTTGTCACTTAATTATAGAGCACATCTCTAGCAGGTGCAAGTTTCTGAGTTTGAACCCCAGTACTGAAAATAAACAAACAAACACGTGTGTTCTTGTGACAGTGCACACCTATAACCCCAGAAGCAGAGGCAGGAGGATCAGGAGTTTAAGATCATCCTTGAGGGCAATAAGATTTACTTCATTTTTGACCTAGAGAGGTCAAGCAATTTTGAATTAGAGAGGTGTCAAATGGATCTCCAGAGAGAGTAGGGGGGTCACAGTTCCATATGCTGTGTTGCTCAGCACAGTGCTAAGATGCAGGCAGGAGAGTAATTGGGCATCAGACACGTGTAAGATGTCTGTAATTAAATTACTGCGATTTTATGCAGTCACTAATTACATTAAGTATTTATTAAGCAACTACTTTGTGTAAGAAGATTCTGGATGTTGGTGAGGAATGAGGCAGGCCTAATCCCTGAGCTCTTGGAACTCTGGGTAGTGAGTAAGTCGACACTGAATGGAAAACTGCATAATAGAATTGCTGTGAGCTGGAAAACAGAAGCGGGGAGATGGGACAAAGTCTCGATCCCTACCCCGTCCATCTTCCCTGTGTGCTATGCTTCTCTTCTCCTGTGGCCCCTCTTTCCACAGGCAGAAGATGATCCAGTCCACAAACTCTCACTATAATGTGACGGAACTTCTACCTCCCTGTCCATTGCTTCAGATCACTTAAACAGGCGCTTCCCCAGGCACAAAAACATGCACACACTGACAGCTTCAACTTCCAACTTCTTCAAGGCTGTTTCTCCCTGATAGTGATTTCAAGGGACTTACTAGCTGTAAGAAAAGATACCAAAGATGTGCACATGAGATAGCCCCATCACTGCCTTCTAGCCATTCCCCAACTGAACCCAGGATTAGGACAGGGTTGTGCCTCAGTCGTAAGGATCAGCTCTGTACTGAATGATTGTGATTTCAGGCCAAGTGTTCAATAACCTTCCTTCACTGTTCATTTAAACTGAGAAAGATACTTCCAGAGACTAGGGCTATGAAGAGAATATGAGGTAAATATGCTGCGGGAGAATCCTCAATAATATATATAATAATTAATAATATATAGTAATCCATCTTCCTAGTGGTTTACTAAATTATGACCACCTTTATTTAGATTTCTCATTTGTGGCTTCTAAATGTCTCTTTTCTCACTTTGTGTAGATAACCAAAAAGTCTACTCACTTAGGTGGGGCGAAGTTAAACTGATAGGCAACTGCTCTCAATTTTACCCAAATCGCTACTATGAAAAAGAAATGCAATGCGCAGGTAAGTGCCAAGTGGTTAACCTGGGATATGCATTGTATTAGTCTGCTTTTGACACTTCCATTTATTGTTGCATCTCCTTACACAGTGCTGTGAAGTAAAAAACGCCAAGCAGGAGGACTATGCTAACTTAGGGAAACAGACACAAGGTTTACGAATTATTTCCAATGCTGCATCCCAATCTGCAGTCCTAAGAGGGACCTAGGGCAGTCTGTTATTTCTTGTCAGGAATTTTTTTTTAAGTACAAGTCTTTCAATGCATCAGTGTGCAAGGCAGGAAATAGACACCATGGCCCTGACAAATGGAAGGAAATGTGATTTTTCTCTCTTAGGTACTGATGATGGGTCCATCGATGCCTGCAAAGGAGACTCTGGAGGTCCCCTGGTCTGCAAGGATGTCAACAATGTGACTTACATTTGGGGCATTGTGAGTTGGGGTGAAAACTGTGGAAAACCAGAATTCCCAGGTGTTTACACCAGAGTGGCTAATTATTTCGAGTGGATTAGCTATCACGTGGGAAGACCCCTTATTTCTCAACATAATGTCTGAAGCTATGACCTCCTTTTTTCTACATTTATGAATCCAGGAGTCATGTTTTAATTAAAATGAAACTATGTAATTAGCTCCAAGAGCTGGCAAGAGCAAGTCTTCCTGGCCAGTTCTAAAGGTTTCTTCAAAGTTTATTGCCATTTTAGAATTCTGCTGTATAATTTTCAAATAAATATTCTGCTTAAGCATAAATTTTGTTTTGCTTGTTTGTTTGTTCTTCAGTGTTAGCATCACTCAGCTCTACCATTGACCTACAAATCTGATTTACAGAAAGTTTGGACTAGATTAGCTCTTCAGGCAGCAATGATATTTTGACTACAGTTAAGGCTGAGATAGTTCTGTGACATTGAAAACACACAAGACTGGTTCAAGCTACAAATTTGCCACCTACTACACTAGACCTTGGGTGATTTTTTATTTTCTTTGTGTCTTGTTTTTCTTCTGGTTTTTTTTTTTGTGACTAGACCTTGGGTGATTTTTTATTTTCTTTGTGTCTTGTTTTTCTTCTGTTTTTTTTTTTTTTGTGATTTTTCCCTGGGGAGACATGAACAAGTATCTATTCATCCCAGATGGGACACCAACTGAAGACCAAGGAATTCCACCCAAAACTAGCTTGGCGAACCAGTGAATATATTGGGATTCCTTACAGGAACAGAGGAGCATGGGTCCCCAACTGAAGGCAGCTGGGACACCAACAAGCTCACCCAAACGTGGGTGACAACTCACAGAAGTTGCATATCTGGGGCTCCACACAATTTGTAGGCAGTTCCATGAAAGAAGTCTCCTCTCACAGGCAGTGTTTACTGCTAATACTACTTTGGAGAAGGACCGAGTGAATTGTGTACCTTTCTGAGCTTCCTGAGTCTGGTGAGTCTCTTCAGTTTCCTGACCTTTATGAACATCTCTGCTTTCTTAGGAAGGAGGAAATGACACAGGACGGTCAACAAGAAACTGTGAATACGACCCCCTGTGCTTATGTTAAAACCCTGGCACAGAATCTGCTACAGGGCAATGACACCTCCAAGCTCTTGTCCCATCCTCTGCTTCTTTAAGCACTAAACTGTTTTCCTCAAATTTGTCTTTGCCCTTCCAGTCACAAGCTCCCTGTACCCTTTCTGGCAACCCCTCCACAGCCCCCTGTCCGCAGCAGCAGACTGTCTCTCCGGTTCCTCGTTAGCCACCCTGCTTGCCAGCCACATCCTTCTGGTTGCTGCTTTTATTTGTCCTTTCCATGGGTTCTGCATCTTGCCTCAGCTTTCGGTTCTACCCACAGTCCAATGACTCATGAATCCATGTGTCTGGCCTTCACATTTCCTCGAAGAGCAGACTAAATGTGCCACCAAGTAGTATAGCCATTTCAGAAGTAATGCTCTCCTCCCCTTCCAGCTCCTGCACATGACACAGCCATCCTCTCAGGGCTATAGCAAGTGCTCCGTCTCCATCACACTGTCCTACTTTAATCTTAGACCAGCATCTATCATTCTCCTAGAATTGTTTTTATTGGTTTACTACCTCTTTTCCAACAGTCACCCAAAGTACATTTTAAGACAGATGGGAGTCCTATCTGTCCTCTTCTTGGCTGCACCCTCTTGCTCTTAATTCAGAGGTGTTCAGTGACTCAGCATTCTCTGACTGTAGGATTTATTTTAAAATCAATGCTGTCATTATGAAGCAGTCGGTGGAGACATATGTCTCCAACTGGGTTCTTGTCCCATCCTCTTCCAAGCACTGCCTTAGTCAGACAATGAGGAGTACAAAAAGGAGGTACTTTATTGTCTGTTCCCTGTTAACAACTTTAAACAATTTGCCATGGACTCACAGTAGCAACCAGATGCTAGCGGAGAGGTGCTACAGCTCCGGGACGTGTGTGGAAGACTCCTGTGCGTGGGAATGTACGCAGTAGAGGCTGCAGGCTCAGAACTTCTTCTGCAGAGACTTGAAACCTGCAAAAAACAAACTAGAAACCAAACAAGAAACCCAGAACGGGCTAGGGTCAGGTTCTTTGAAGGGCCATGAGTCAGCTCTCCAAAGGGAGAACACACACACAGAGCATATGGATCCTCCATTGTGCGGCTCATCACAGCTCACAGAACTAATCTCATGACAATCTCAGCTTTTGTCTAGTCTCTGCCACAGCCCTATAAAAACCTCTAAACAGTGAAGTTCCCTGACTTTTTCCCTCTTCAGAATCCTTCCCACTCTTGAGAGGTCTTTTACTTTTCCTCAATTTCTATTTTTTTCCTGTAATTCTTAAGAAAGCATACCCCGAAACTGTCCATGTCTTTAATCTTCACTGGCATGACAGAATAAACTCGGAACCACTGTTGCAGGTCAACCTGATAACCATGTCTGGCACCCCTGGGTCCTATATAACTGGGCTGTGAACAGTCTACCATAATTAAGATTCTTAGGTCATTCATATGCGGCTAACTAGAAAATAAAATACAAAGTTGTTCTTTGCAGGAGCAATGAATAAGAAAACTCAGTGCAGATCAGCGTGGGGTGTCAAAGAGGGCTTCCCCAGAGGTGAGCTTAACCTGACTGATGAGATGTGATGATTATTGTTAACTGCCAGAATATTGTTAACTTGCCAGAATCTAGAATAATTTAGATGGGCCTCTGGACATGTCTGTGCAGAATTATCTTGAGTACGTTAATTGATGTGAGAAGACCTATCTCAATAGTAGGCAGGACTGTTTTCCAGGCAAGGGACCCTAGACTATATTAATTGAAGAAAGTGATTCACTTGCTTTCCAATTGTGGTGGGACCAGCTGCTTCAAGCTCCAGCCACTTTGTCCTACTCACTATGATCAGCTGGACCCTGGAACTGAGCCAGAAAAACAAAGAAGCTTGGGGAGCCAGCCACACACAGGTTGGAGAACAGTTCAGTATCCCTGGCACCCAGGGAGCATCAGAAAAGGACAAGGTGGGTGTGTCCTTGTGCCCAAGAGTTGAAACCACTGAAGAATTCTAGAAAACCCAAGCAGGTAGCCCAGAGGAAGATGTGTGGTGGAGGGGGGAGGGTTGAAATGAGACATGGAAGACAGGAGAAGCCTGAGAAGACAGGGGCCAAGGCAGGGATGAAAAGACTGGCAGTGACTCTAAATGGGTCGAGGAAGGAAAAGACAGCATCTGGGGACAAAGCATAGTACCAGGGAGAGGCATTTGAGTATGTCAATTCTGAGACTTTTCTCTTAATTATGAGGTGATTGGGATGGTCATGGATAACAGATTAAAAAAGAGAGAGAGAGAGGGAGAGAGAGAGAGAGAGACTGCAGAACTGAAGTGGGTTTAACCAGTTGGGTGACTTTGAATTTGTGACGTCATATGGGAGCTTGGTGGAACTGTGCAATAGAAGAGACACGGTTACAAGGAATCTGGCATTTTGAGAATGTAATCCCTAGAGAGAGACAGCAAACTTGAGTCCTCAGAGCACAAGCTGTCATTAATGTAAAAGACATTAGCACACCAAGATGTAAATGTGTAAGACATAGAAAACAGGCTTGGAGTCAAGATCCTAGCACTCAAGAGACCTATGTAGGAGGACGGTGTGTTTAAGGCAATTTAGTGGGCAGCTTGGGCTATAAGCCAAAATCCTGTCCCAGAAAAATGAACAAGAAGGGCCTTGGGTTTTAACTGTGGGCTGGTTCCACACAATCTTAATGCATTCTGTCCCATTTGGGAAGACACATTCCTGGACCACGACAAGAATTAAATGATCAAGCCTTGCTTTAAAATTCTGGTGGTAAAGCTGGTTGGGACCTCAAAGATCCGCTGGCCCAGTGATTCTCAACGTCAACCTGTTAAAATCACTGTATTCTAGAGCCACATCCAATGACCTCTGCTTCCTCTCCACCTATCTACGGTTACCCTTGCACTACAGTATTTAGAATTTTAAGGAGCGGTGACCATGAATTTCCCCTTCCTTAAAATTAGAGGCACTAGAGCAGTGCTCTATAGCTCGCGGTTCTCAATCTGTGGGTGGGACCCTTGAATTGAAAGGGATCGAATATCACGTATCGTGCATATCAGACATTTACATTACGATTCGTAACGGTAGTAATTTACAGTTATGAAGTAGCAGTGAAAACAATAGTGTGACTGGGGGGTCACCACAACTTGAGGGACTGTACTTAAGGGTCACAGCGACAGGAAGGTTGAGAACCACTGCTCTAATTGAGAAGGGTCCATCGTCAACGACCCTGAGACAGACAAGCTATTTACAGTGTAAAGATTGCCGCAGGTCATGAGGTCCCCGCGAGGACCCAAGTTCTGTGGAATTCGTGGCAGTCACGTGCTCAAACAAGCCCCCGTACTGGACCCCCGGCCAAGCTCAGAAAAGGCCAAGACGGCAGAGCCCCACGGGTCAGGCTGTGCCACTGTGGCTTCACTGTGGCTCGACACGAGGAGAGCTTAAAGAACAAACGAACAAACCTCACTACGGTGCTGAACCAAAGCAACGCACACGTGTAGGGCACGGTCGTTTTTATGACTCCACAGAGGTAGGACGGAAAGCCACCGCAGCGTCCCAGAGACCACGTGGGC